ATTATCTCTCTGTTTGCATGATTCAATTATCTCACGCGTTTACCATTATTTCTGTCACATTGCACACATCCGAAGGTTAGGTCTAACTGTTTGGCCGTCGCGCCAATAGTCCGTAAAACTTCACACATTCAATTTCAAATCCTCAAAACTACAAACTACAAACCCTAATTTTCACAAATGCCTCGCCGCAGGCCAAATTACAATTTTATCCCTAGCTTTAGGTCAAAGAGTCGCCGCACTCATTTTAGGGTTTCCCGCCGCGGAATCCCTAACCTAACCCTAATTCACTTAACAATTTACAACGTAGATATTGGAGTTTCTACACTCCGCGTAAGCGTGTCCCTAAGATACGTTTATTCCCCATTGAAACCTTGGCCACAGTCAAGACGTTTCTAACCTCCCTTTTGAGGGGAACTACAGTTACTTTGATTCCATTTCCGTAAGGATATGTAGGCACAAGATGCGATGTCTTGCCGAGTAAACTTAGAATTAACCCCTTAGGTCTTTTAAACCCTTAATCCTTTGTACATACCCTTAAAGCAAAAAATGAAACAAATAAAAAAATAAACAAAAGGTTCCCGTAGAGTACTACAGAAGTTTAGGGTGCTAATACCTTCCCTAATCTTAACCAACCCCCGAACCTTAGATCTCTCCCCTTTAGGTTTTTCCTTTCTTTAACCTTTCCTTCGGATAAATCAAAGACCGGTTGTAAATGAATTAAGATTCAAGTTAATCAATAGCTTGACATCCAAATTTCATCGCAACAGTATGCTATGCGTTGACGCATGGTGCTGTTTTCTGCACAATCTTGCGTTCGGGTCTGCTCAGGTCAACCCCCACTACTGTATAGGTCGACCGTTCGCTGTTTTGTGTCAAAGTTCTATTATGTCAACTGCCTTTGTGAATTGGTTTTGTTTGTTATGTCAGTTATGTTTGGTATATAAGTTGAGTTTCTCTTTCATTTCATAAAAAAAATAAGAAAATAAGAAAAGTGAAATTAAGTGTCGATTTGGTTCTCATCATCTTCATTCTCTTCATAGCATTTCACAACAATTACACATAATCATCTTTGTTGTACATTGTCATTGTGCATGTTCGAGGTGATAACATCCAAAGCCGAAGATTGGTTTATCTGGTTTGGGTTGAGTAATCGAAAAGTTTTTCTTGAATAAAACCGTTAGGGTTTTGTCTTCCAAGAATCTCATATTTTGGGGGTTTTTGCACGATTCGTTCCATCACATATTCAGCCCAGTGAAGGTAATCAAAGAGCTAGAGGTTCTGTTGATTTAGTAATGATAAACGGAGGATTGTGAGTGGGAGATACGGGTTCGACACGCGGGTGATTAAAATCAGTCGGGCCAGATTTTGAAGACCGAGGGTTGTTCAAAGAAAGTACCGCAATCGAAGGTTATTCACAGTGTTCGAAGTAATTGATTCAACTTGAATCAAGGGGCAAGAAGAAATAGGATCTACAACAACAATTGTGTTTGTTTTTTTGATAGCTATTCGCTTCTTGTATAAACATTGACCAACATGTTATATCTATCTATATACAGGTCTCAATTCTATTGTTAGAATTGAGGGAAGACGTACCCCGAGCGAGGACGACGGGGGAACTGTCTCAACAAATCGTTGTGTCTTTTTCTTTATGTTTATATTGCTAAGTTTCTGTGTTTTTAGTGCAAACGATTATATCAATCAAGTTCTGATTTGAGTTGTTCTGAACTATTTTAAAACCTATTACAATCATTGGTTGTAAGAGAAAACTTGAGCACCTAACTCTCAAAACAGAATTCACTTGTAGTGCTCTGCACTCCAAGTGTTCGATAAATTGTGTGAACTAAAAACCTTGTGTGCTGTATTTTCATATTGTCAATATTTTGAAGGAATTGGAACTAGTCACACCGTATAGTGAGCATAATTAAATTGAAAGTGTGATTGACGTAGTGATTCTCATATCTCGTTGATCAGATTCCATAAGCATAACGCATATCCGGTTTTCTTATAATTGTTCGTTTTAGACGTATATAGTTCCTCGACCGCTTCCGCTATTAAACCAATTTTAAAAACCAATTTTTGGTAGCGTCGACTCTGTTTTTAAGCAAGCGATTTATTCAACCCCCCCCCCCCCTTCTAGATCTGTGCCATCATCTAACACCTTCATGATGTGTTTCATGTATCTCAGTTGAGGAAATATATTCTGGATACGTCGTATGTGATACAAATGATGATGTACAGGTGAGAGATAACCTAACGGTTGAAACGTCATCTGTACGAATTGATGGTCGAGAAATGAAATAGTTGCGGGGTAAAGAGATTGCCTTAGTGAATGTATTGTGGGGTGGACTAGCTGGTGAAAGTTGGACTTGGGAGTGTGAAGATCAGATGAGGGAGTCATATCCGACTATGTTTCCTTCAGGTAATTTTAAAGGACATAAATTCTTTAAGTGGGGGAGAATTGTAACACCTCAAAATAATTATAATATTTATTTAATTGATTTATTATAATTATTCGTGATTTTCGGAGAATTTTGATGAAATATTATGACGCATGGTGTATTTGTTTTGTGTGTTGTGGGATATTGATGAGCTAAGAGAATAATGAGAGTATTTAGAAAATAAGTGATTAATTGGAATTATTTTAGTGTTAATAATAATAGAATAATGTGAATAATATTATTTAAATTATTATTATTGATTAAAATAAAATGGAGTGGAACACTAAGGGCAATGTGGTCTTTTGTAAGAGAATAAGTGAGGGTAAGATGGGAAAATCATAATAAGGGTCCTATGGGCATATTTGACAAAAGAAAAAGAGGGATTTGAGAAGTTCACTTTTGGAATGATCGTGTTTTGGAGAGCACTATGAGGAAAGAAGGAGGAAGAGATTAGGGCTCAGAGAAACTCTGAAGAACTCAAGAGGAAGATCAGAATTGAGAATTCTAAGGTATGAGGAGTTTCGCTTACCATTGTATTTGATATAGAGTTAGATGTATGTAGGTAGTTGGGGTTTTAGGGGATTTTGGGGATATGATTGCAATATGACGAATTATGATGTGATTGGTGATTTGGGGATGTGTAAAATGATGGGAAATCATGTATATGCTGTCTACTATGATGTATTGTTGTTGTAGTACGATTTCCTTGTGATCAATGTGCATTTTCAGACTGTATGGTATTGAAATCGCAAGAAGTTTAGGGTCTGAATTGTGCAGAAAACGTAACAGCAGAGTTGTTGTTTCATATGAATCGTCGGGTGAGGGAATTGTTTCGCCAGGCGAAGCATACTCGCTTGGAGGTCGTCGAGCGAAACAAGAAGCGAGCGAAGGATGAAAAATAGGTGCTACTGAAATTTTGTATGAGGGAGGGATTTCGCGCCTACTTCGTTGAGCGAACCCCAGGTGAGTGAACTGCTTCGCCAAGCGAGCACCAGGCGAGCAGGAGCAGATATTTTTATTTTATTTTATTCTTCGTGTTGTTTTTTTTGTTGATCTTGTGTTGTTGAGCAATTAAAGTGTTGTGTTTTAATGATCATAACATGATGAATTGTCAAGTATTATGATGAATTGTAACGTATGTGATTGATGTTATATTATGATGTTTTGATGAACTCTCATGAATGATGATGCAACTTTGACGATCCTATGATGATGATTATTATGACGTTTTACATCATGCATTCATAGCATAATTTAGGACTTCGGTCCAGTAACGATGTTAGGACTTCGGTCCGGTGGTGGCTTCAATCACATTGTATGAATTGAAATATTTGGGATGTGCTCTGGTTTCAAGGGAGAATCGATCCTATGATAGGGATCTTTTGAGGGTGATGGCCCAGTGTCCATCAAATGAATTGGTACCACATGCATGAGTCTATGTTGTTGCATTTCATACTGTGTGGCATTGCATATTTTTGAATAAACGACGTTATTGATGACATGATTTTAAGTGATGTAAGACGATGATGATTTAATGATGATTATTTTGTTTGACGATACTATGACAGTGTAAATGAACTGTTGATACTGTTGTACTTGTATATCTTTTTCTGTATATCTTGTATAATGATTCGTGATTACTCACCTTGCCCGTTTGAATATTGCCTTCACGTGGGTAACGTCCAGGTGATCAGAATTAGTGCTCTTGGTGCGTGAAGATTTAACATTTATAGTTATTTAGTTTTATTTCCGTTGAGTTTAGAAGGTGTCTTGCTCTGATATGTAACATCGGGTCGGAACGTCCTTGAGTTGAACTTTTATGTTCTAGTTTTTATAGACATGATGTCACTATGATTTTTACTATTTTGACATTTTGGAATTAATTACTTAAGATTATAATTTCTGCTGCATAGTAGTTCTAATTGAATTTTTTTTTGTGGTGATAAAACCCGTGTTACGGAGCAGAGTGTTATTTAGATGTTTTATGACGACATGTGGCACCATTATAGTGATTTACTCTAATTTACTTATCTTTAATTAATTATTTTATTCGTGAGTATTTTGTGAAGTAGAAAGGTTTTATAAATATCATATTCCTAATTAGAGTAAAAAAAAAATATTAATATGAGGTTACGAAAAAATTTAAGTTCAAAATTAACTTCCTAATCACTTTTGTATTGGTATTAAGAAAAGTAGAAAGGCTAGAGAAGACAACATAAAAGAAACTAGATAGTGTGGCCAAATGGTCCACATGTTATCAATTTGTCTTTATGTTATCAATCACACACACATAAAAACTTTACACAAATCAATTATTGCTACAAAGAAATTCACATCAAAATTCCACACTCCAAACTCAATCCTTTCACCATACTCCTAACAACCATTTTCAACCACTTCTATATTTTTATCAAATTATTTAATAAATAAATATTGAAAAGAAAAAAAAATAACAAAAGTAAATCTTACACATCACACATCACATTGTTATTATTATTTTTATTAATAATAATAATAATAATAATAATAATAATAATAATCACTCTCTCTATTTTGGTTACAATGCAAAACTCACCCACTATTATCTCAATTCCGCCGCCGTTTCCCTTCCCTCCTTCGCCGCAGTCCGCCGGTCAAGTCGTTGTCCTTCCAGCACCGCCTCCACCGTTTCAACCATTCGCCACCGCTCCCAGCTCCGTCTTTCAAATCACCGTCCACCCTGCACCCCCTCAACCACCGCCTTTCGCCGGCGAGTCTAGCTCCGTCGATTTATCACCTCTGGAGTTTCTCCTTGCTCTTATTGCTATTGTCGCCATTCCTGCCTTGATCTATACGTTTATCTTCGCCTACGGATGTTCATCCTCTGACCGTCGGAGATCCGATGATATATCCGACGCTCAATCAGTTGCATCGGAACTCTCTCGCCATGATGTGGAAAGTGTTCCTGCTGGAGAATCTGCCGGACTGAAGTACCAGGAGATATGTCCGACGAAAATCAGCGGCGAGTGTCCGGTGTGTTTGTCGGTGTTTGCTGACGGTGAGGAAGTTCGGGAACTGAGCGTATGCAAACACTCGTTTCACAGTTCTTGCATCGATCTGTGGCTCAGCAACCACTCCAATTGCCCAATTTGCCGTACAACTGTTACCGACGATGCTGCGACGGTTAAAAGCTCCGGTCCCAACAGAGACGGTGATCTTCAACTGGTTCCCGATGATGCTTCTTCTTTGGTTTGATTTTTTTTTTTCTCTCTTAATTTGGGTCAGAGTAAATGTGAGTTAAATATGAATTTTTATTACTATCAGAAAAATCTAATAAATTCTAGTTACATTTTTGCTACCTATATCAAGTAAAGTTGAAATTAGGTTATTTTGAAAAGTATGGATATGTTTTTTTTTAATGATTAAAAAGGAATTTCTTTAGATTTTTGATTTTTTTACAAAGATTTTTGAAAATTAGTATTTTTTTTCTTAAATATAAATAAATCGAATGAATAATTGAATAGTTGTTGGTCATTTAACTTATTCCCCTAATCATGTGAATAATTAAGGAGGAAACGTGCTCATTTGACTACTAGGCTGTAGAATATCCATGGTATACTTGTCAAAAATACATAATGCATGGTACCCAGGTAGCCAAAGGCTTTAGTAATTTTTGTGTGATTAAAGTTTGTTTACGGTTGTGAGAAGTTCCGTCTAGTGATGTTTGTGGTAATGAGAGAATAATTTCACGTAAGTGAGAAACTCGGTAGTTTTAAGGATGTATCATGTGTATTATTATTACCTTCCTCTTCCCATGTTAGGGATGATATATAGGCTCTTATGCTTAGGATCTAAGCAACTCCTAAAAAATAGTAATTGTTCTCTCTTAATTAAAGGAGTTGTTGATTACCTATTTTTTTAGAGTCACTCTCATGAGGGTTATTTCTTAGACGACACGTCATGGGGCGGATGCCGCTGCCCTATTTAAGGTCGACAAATATATCACATTGTAATTTATAAAAAAAAATTTTTGATGTAATATATTTTAAAACATTTTTTTTGTTAAGAAAACATTTCTTTTTTAAAAATAAAATTGTTATCTTTTTATTTAAAATTTGTTTCCTCTAGGTCAATATACTTTTCAACTTCATATTCATGAACCTTTTTTAAATTCTTAAATTTGCGTGGAAGTTTCTGATACCTATTCAGAGATTCAGACGGATAAAATTTTAAATCAGCACGAGAAATTTTAGAGAATACTTCTTCTGAGTCAGACTCTGTTTCGATTGTGTTTCCTTTAGATATGGTAGCCATGAATGCTAAGTTGGCATGCTCCTCTTCAGAATCAGAGCCATCTCATGTTGCCATGAGACCTTTCTTCTTGCCTTTGAACACACCCTTCTTGAAACTTTCTTTTTGGAGTTTTCTTTCTTAAGCTTTGGACATACATTTCTGTAGTGTTCGTGCTCCTTACATTCATAGCATGTTACTTCTTTGCTTGTTCTTCCTCTTGAAGATGAATCTGGACGATCTCCTCTGTTTCTGTACCTTCAAATTTTGTTTTTTCTTTTCTTCCAGAGTTGTTTGATTCTTATGGAGAGAATGGACAATTCATCTTTATCATCAGAATCTTCTGAAGGTGAGAAAACACTTAGAAGGGGGGGGGGGGGGGGGGTTGAATAAGGGTTTAGAAATAAATATGGTAATAAAAACACAATGATATTTATCCTGGTTCGTTGAACTCAACTAATCCAGTCCACCCTATCAAGAGTGATTTGTCTTTCTCCTCAAGGACTTAATTCACTATATTCAAACAGATGACAGTGTCAAACACTAAGAACAACTGTCTTAGTCTTCTCAAGAACTACTGACCACAACTTGGTCTTCTTAAGGAACCTTTACAAATAAATGTAAACTAACAAGTGTGTTTGATGCTTCTAAAAAGCTATATCACAAACTGTGATTTTTACACTTAAGATTAAGAACAAATAAAACTATTCAGCTTTGAATAATAAGAATGAGTGTATGAGAGTTGTTGAATAATTTTCTCAAGATTTGTTATCAGTTCGTTAACCTTGAAGAGATGTAGAAGGCGCCCTTTTATATTGCTGAAAGTCCAATGCTTGAAGACTGTGCAAGTAGAGTAGCTGTAGCCTTTTGTCTTCACATGACTTTTCCTTTCTCACAAGTAGAATGTTCAGAGAAATGCCTTTTTCCTGAATCCTTGTGTCTATCACAAATAAGGAATAGTTTTGTTGGAGAGGACGTTGAGAATAGTACCAAGTCTATTCACGTGCTGACATCTTTTCAAATGTAAACAACATCAGATCTTCTGATGTGCTTCTTGTTCTTCAGATCAGATTTAAATGAAATCAGAGTTGCAGCTATAGTGCTTTAGCGTGAGTGATCTGATCAGAGCATAACAGTTTATCAGAGCCTCTGTACTTGCAGCGTAAAGTACATTCAGAGTCTTCTGAAACAATGTTTGAAACTCTTCATACACAATCATCAGCTACGCTTCAGATGCATCTGCAGCTTCTGCTTCAGAGTCTTTTCTGGCAGCGCTCAGAGTCTTCTGATGGCTTGCTTCTGATGCTTCAGAGCTTTGCGTAACTTGTTGTTCAGATGCATTTTGCTTCCATGATGATATTTAATTTAATATCTGAAACAAAAATACTTGAACAAAATTAGAGTATATATTTTCTTAATACAAAAATCCATTAGAGTTATCATCAAAACATAGAGATAATATTAAACACCAATCTGTGTTCTAACAATCTCTCCCTTTTTGATGATGACAAAAAATAGGAAATTTTGTTCAATAAAAAGGATAAATATATAACTCCCCCTGAGATAAAGAAACTCCCCCTGAAATGAATACTCTAATAGAAGAAAATACTTCCCTTTTTGCATGAGTATACTATTCAGATTAAGAGCCTGGTTGAAAAACTTCTGGTAGAAATCCTGGTTAGCATATTGTCGCTACCGCGAAAATAAGGTGTCGGCAAAACAGAAGAGTCGCCACCTTTCGTTATTTATCCCTCAGAGCGGGAAAGGAAACGATCGGAAAAACCTGACAAAAACGTATAAGACAAGGCCATCGCAACCATTGTCTGGATTCGGGAGTCAGTTACGCAAGGGGAAGGTATTAGCACCCCTCACGTCCATCGTACTCGATGGGATCCACGCTTGTTGTGTTTATCTGACGGGTTTATTTACTATCTACCTATCAAGGCTGGTCTGAAAAGAAAAGGAAATGACTCGGCAAAGCGTCGCGCTTTATGCCTACGTATTCTCATCCGAGAATGAGAAATCAGAGTCAACGTAGTTCGGCTAACTACGGGTTACGGGGAAGGTGGCTCGCCAATACATCAGTATTGTGCCTACGTACTCTCAACAGGCTTGAGAGATCAGAGCTTAGGTAGTTCGGGATAATACGGATTACGGGAATTCAGATTCGTCTGTTTTTTGAGTAGGGTTAACAAACAGTTCCAGCAGTTTGGTGTACGCGGCTCGACCCTTGGAGACTTAGGCGTTACCGTTTGCGGTAGAACTGAGAGTTAACGACACTCTTTTCTTCAGAAAAGCTTCCTTTGAATTATGGGCCCACGGGGCAAAAAAGTTTGAAGTTTGTTTTCTGTCTTTTACGGAAGAACTGTTTTTTTATGGATGTTTGCAACCAATATCGTGCTAGAGACTATTGTCGCTACCGCGAAAATAAGGTGCCGGCAAAACAGAAGAGTGGCCACCTTTCGTTATTTATCCCTCAGAGCGGGAAAGGAAACGATCGGAAAAACCTGACGAAAAGGTATAAGACAAGGTCATCGCAACCAATGTCTGCGTTCGGGAGTCGGTTACGCAAGGGGAAGGTATTAACACCCCTCAAGTCCATCGTACTCGATGGGATCCACGTTTGTTGTGTTTATCTGATGGGTTTATTTACTATCTACCTATCAAGGCTGGTCTGAAAAGAAAAGAAAATGACTCGGCAAAGCGTCGCACTTTATGCCTACGTATTCTCATCAGAGAATGAGAAATCAGAGTCAACGTAGTTCGACTAACTACGGGTTACGGGGAAGGTGGCTCGCCAATACGTCAGTATTGTGCCTACGTACTCTCAACATGTATGAGAGATCAGAGCTTACGTAGTTCAGGATAATACGGATTACGGGGATTCAGATTCATTTGTTTTTTCGAGTAGAGTTAACAAACAGTTCCAGCAATTTGGTGTACGCAACTCGACCCTCAGAGACTTAGGCATTACCGTTTGCGGTAGAAATATGAGTTAACGACACTCTTTTCTTCAGAAAAGCTTCCTTTGAATTATGGGCCCACGGGGCAAAAAGGTTTGAAGTTTGTTTCCTGTCTTTTACGGAAGAACTGTTTTTTATGGTTGTCTGTAGTTTGTACAACACTAGAGACTATGACTTAGGAGCGAATGCATCGCATATCGTCCAAAGGACGTATACTAAACATTCTAGACGATTGAGAGGAGGCCGCTCAATCATCATTTCCCAAGTAGCTTAAGGCTCGTAACGCGCTTATACTAACTTGCCTTTATTACGTTTTTTACGGTTATTTCAAGATGAGAAGAGAACAAACTCTATGGGGAGACTGTCAAGTCCTAATGTTGTCATGCCAAGGATTCATCCTATGGTTGAGGTTTGAAACAGGGAACTCCTAGAAGTTATCATGCATAGGTTTCAACCTAAAGTTCTATCATCACTTCCTTGTCAAAGGAAGTGAGACTCATAGGGGATCATGTCACCAGTATACAAAAACAGACAAAGCATCAGCTTAAACAGTAAACAACTGTAAATAAAATGCATGCAATGCAAGTGAGGGAGGAAATGTGTGTGGGGCAGGAGCCTCCACAAGCTCATCTCAACCTCAAGCCAATTATAAATAATTGCAAAGATAAACAGCCAAACAGAGATAGACAGACTCAACCTCTATTACTAACACACAAATGAAAAGAAAGACAACACACAAGTAAGGGGAGCACCACCTCAACCCTTAATGCAAACAAGCAGAGGGAGACCTACTCAACCTCTAAGTAGTCATGCTCCTAGGTTAAAAATAATCTACACATGGACCTATTCTAATGCATCAAGCAAATCAAACAAGGGAGAGAAACTACAATGAGCAACAAGGAAGTCATCCCAGGCTGCATTAGGTTAGAGGTATATCAATACCAGAGTCCATCATGGGCTCAACCTCTTGAGGAATGCACAGAATCCAACCAAAGGAAGGAT